CAAACAGAATAAATAATGTGATCATTACTTTTACTAAAAAGAAAAAAAAATTCAATTTATCGATTACGAAATAAATGAATAATTCATTCATAGGTAACTTCATATATTAAGTGTGAAAATTTGAATAAATATTAGAAATATTATGAATATTTTCAGATTTATAATACTAAAGAGAGAAATTGAATCACAATTAGCATTTTCCGTTTTCCCTTTTGCAAAGTCATTGTCATATTATACGAGTATTGCAAATTCGCAAGTCATTTCTATTAAAATTTACATTATTATTCATTCTATTTGTTTCGTCACCATTTTGTTGCGTTTTCAGAATATTAAATTCGTGATATTAAGTTATATACATATGTTTTAAAAACAATATAACAGTTCCCATATGGTGAAGACAATTAGATACCAAACAGCTAGTATCGACATTAGAGATGCAATTAATTAAAATTTAACTATGTTTTTGACAATAAATCTAAAATTTACTAATATAATAAATCACAAATCCTTGTGAATAAAAATTCATGATATTTTATTTGTTATTTTTAATTCTTTTGCAATTTCACTTGTTATTAAACACAATTTCTAACTCAAGTAAAATTCACTTAATCAAGCACACCTTGTGTTCTCATGCATCTTAGTTATAATTATAAATTCCATTTATTTTTCTCAAACAAAACCTTATTTAGAGTTACCCTAAATCCGAGCATTAATTATAGTCGCGTTATTTCAATTCAATGGTGTCTTTGCAAACTAATAATAATTATAAGTTTTTAAAAATTTTTTGCTATAATTTTGCCATTATTTCTGCTGTAAATCCAACATTATTTAAACTCATACAGATAATATTGTGTTCATCATAAATAGGTATATATAAAGCCTTATTATTTCATTTTATTGCTACATGGATGTTTGTATGTACTATGTTGATAAAATCAATTTCAAACATAAAAATAACAAAAAAAAAGATCTAAAAATTATGTAGGCTTAAAATATTCACTATTGTGAACTGATTATGACTCAAACCCTGATTTAAAATTTTTCGTTTAATGATTATCATCGCATTCCAAAAATGATTCATTCGAAGTTGTCATGAGCAGTTGAAATTGAAAATTAAAAAAATATATTAAGATTCCATATTATTAAACCTAATTTTGAAATTTTAATCCACAATCCACGTGTACAAACAATTCTCTAATTTAAATAATCACCATGCAAATATCAAATTCCACGCGTACATTCTTACAATTAAAAATTAAAAATTTTTGGCGCCATAACAACAATAAATGGAGGAGAATGTATTTTCCAACCACCTAAAAAAATTTCACAAAAATTTAAAAATTTTCCAAATTTATTCATTTTTTAACCAATAGATACAAATTTAGAAACCTCATAAATTTCTGTTAGATTAATGACATCACTGGAAATAGTACTTGATTGAAATTTTTCACTGAGTAACATTTGTTAAAAAATTAGAAATTTTAACAATAATTAACTAAATATGGTAAAAATGAAAATTTTTACGCATTTTTTTTAATCCTACATAAAATAGTTTTTTTCTGTGTCATCATCACTTTTTTTACATTTGTAACATGTGTTACCACTTTTGAACCTGCAAATTAGTTTTGACTACACGTAATACCTACATTCAAATATAAATATTCAATGTATAAGATCTCTATGTTGTCCTTTAAACAAATATTATGTAGGTATGAATACTATTTAAAACAATTTGCACTCTTTGGTGCCCACACGAAATCAGATTAACATTATGCTACTTTTATACTACATAATAAACCTACTAATCTCAAAGTTATTTATTTCCCTTTTTTTTAAATACTCCACACGAGCTTTTAAAATTTTTCAATATAAAAATTTATTTTACAAAATTTCAATAAAAAGTGTAAGATTTATGACAACAAACTTCATATATGGCAAAAACAAAAAATATTTTACTATTGATCTCTAAGTACACAAAATTAAAATCAGGAAATAAAATTTGAACTAAAGCCAACGCATTTTCATTCATGAACTAGATGAGTCGTTCATCAGCAACAAAACGGCTCGAACAAAAAAAAATTGAAGATGATACACAAAAGAACTGAATCAATAACATTATATCAACAGTAGGTGTAATATAAAGTGTTGCCAAAATCTGTATTAGTTATACTATTTATACCGGTACACGTCATAGATAAAAATGAAATAAAAGCAACACCATAATCATTTCAAGGAGTTTGAGCCCTGACATTTACATTATATAAACAAAATTTATTTACCAATTCTTATTCCACTTTAAACATTTCATATTTAATATACCTACTTTAAATCGTCTAATGTAATTCTATTCAATACTATTTTAATAAAATTAAAAATTAATAACGCATAAATTTACATTTAAATAAGCGTTATTCAAATTCATAATTATATGTATACATACTGACATATAACACATTTATATATTTTATTAGAATATCATAAGTGTCAATAAAGCGTCAGTACATTAATTATTACTTACTTAATTACTTGTTATTTATTATTAATTATTATTATTATTACTCAATTCTCAATATTAAGAATTTATTACTCTTTCTCTCTCTCTAGCCTCCTCAATTTACAAATGTTTGCTCACGTACAGTTATAAATACATTAATGCAATTTAATAATGTAAATTGACCGTACTGAACGGTTATCTTTAATATTTAACATGCATTTTGTTAAATAATACAAAAAATTTATTAAAACTCATCATGAGCTTATTATCCACTTTCCCATAATTAAAAAGAAAAAAAATATACATTTTATATACCTGAAATCTAAATTCAATTACATATTATCTATGTATACAATCTTATAAGAATTATTACCTCTTGCTCTAAAATGCACTTTTCAATTTAATCTTCTCTAAATATTATTAATAAATCATAATCTTTTATTTAATAATGATTATAAATACAATAATTAAAAAGATTTTGATTTGTATGTTTGAAAGTTCAGTCGGTTCGGTTCATTTTATTTATCATACTCACTCATACACTCATATTATTCTCAAAACAATACAATTTATATACAGGTAGTTTAAATATTTACTAAAATTATATTTTACTGAGCTGAGGTTTCTTTTTTTAAATTCTCTTACACACACATCAATATTTTTTAGTACACTAATACCATCATTAAATATATGCAATTTTTAAAATGAAATCTCCGCTCTTTAAAATTAAAAAAAAAAAACCCACACATATATAAGTATAACGGTGATCAAAAATATTTTCTTCATATTTTTATTTTGTTTGTATAGATATGAGAATACTTAAAGATACTCATAATTACACACTAATTTAAAAATATTTTCTTCACTAGTATGAATGTATGTATATCTATATTAATTACTATATAAACAAAATATTGTTATTATGTACTAAATGTAAATAATAATAGAAAATTATTTAAAAAGTTAAAAACTAAAACTATACTATAAATATAAATACATATACATAAAAGTGAATCCAAACATACATGCTAGTATTATTAATCATCAAGAATAGTCATCATCACAGTAATAATAATAATAACGACAATAATAGTAATAATAAAAATAATAAAGAATCACAACAACAAAAATTATAATAATAGTATTAATAAATATGTAATATAGAAATTTTTAGTACAAAATTTGAGAATTATACATATGTATGTAGGTGCCTTGCCTATATAGATTCCTACATTTGAATATACATACATAGTATTGCACTATAAGATATTATTAATATGTGATGTATGTATAAATATATGAAAAATCTTAACTGGTTGGCTTACAACAATGTTAGTTAAATATTTATGAATATTGTGACTTCTCTATAAGCTAAAGTATATAGTCATTATGTATATACATATATAGGTACATAATATTTGTATATTATTTACAACATCCCATCATATGAGTTTTTTGGATTTTAATTTTTATTTTTTTTGTTATTATTCTTCTTATGGTTTTGATTTTTATTACTATTTTCTTGTTGTGTTTGCTTTATGTTTGATTTATAAAACTATATAATAAGAGCTAGTAGAGCAATCAGACAGAAGTTAAAGTTAAGTATCTCCGTGTAGTTTTCTTTCAGTCAGTGTTAAGACATTTAACGATAAAGACGTGTGTTGAAAGTGTTCCTTTTTTTATTTATACATACTTTAGTATTTTGTTTTATTTTTTTTTTGAAAAAGGAAAATCAAAAGAAAAAAATAATTTTATATTTTTATCTTTCTCTGTCTGTTCTCCGTCAAGTGGTTTTTTGTATATTGTACAATTTTATTAGTAATCGTTGTGAAATTGTAAACTTTTAATAAAATAATAAAAAATTAATCATAATAATAAAAATTTTCAAAATTTAAAAAATAAAAAATAATAAGTAAGTGACTTAATTTAAAAAAAAAAATTCTAATTCAAAGCATTTTAAATTTTAGTACTTTTTAAAATTGCCTTTAAAGGATTAAAAATTTTTCTTTTTTTTGTACTAAAAAATTTGTGCTTTTTTTAAAAATAAAAATTATTTTCAAGCTTTTTCAATTTTTATAAAAAAAAAGGATATTTTTCTATTTCCTTTCTATTCAATACTAAAATCCATAGTGAACACTAAAAAAAAAAACGAAATATATACTTAAAAAAAACAAGGATTATAAAAAGCTGCACACTATTCAACATTATTTTGAATTAAAAAATTCGAACGAAAAAATTAATTTCTTAAATTTTAAAATAAAAAAATTAACAAATTTAATGCTAAAACACAAAAAATATTAAATTTTAAAAATATTTCATGTTTATGACGTAATTATTTTTTAAAAATATTTTTATTTAATAACATTTATAACTACATATTTAACTTGTCATTATATTGAAAAAAACTAATTATAATTATTGATAATAAAAATTAAAATACATAAAAACGTATAAGGATCAAAGCACAAACAAACAAAAATCATAAAAAAGTTTTATACAATTTCAAAGAAATCTTTGATTGTTAAAATTTAATAAAACAAAACAACAAAAAAACTAATTAAAACCATCGTCGATTAAAAAATTTTAATTCAATTTATTTGTTTTAAGTTATGAGGTGCGTATCTTTTTTTATAATTCTTGTTATTTTCTTTTATATTATTTGATTAATAAATTCACTAAAATTTGAAACTAATATTTAAAATAATTTTATATTTCTAATTTAAAATAATTATTTAAAAATTAGTTCCAAATTTTTTCAATATAATTATGATTTTATAAAATTTCTAAATGAATTGTTGTAATTGTACATTTCTCCGTCGGCCATTCATTCTCCCAATATAAACAAATATTTATCCCTTTAATTCCTGCTAACTCAAATTAAGTTTATTTAGAAAAACTATATGGACAGCTTAGACATACTTATGCAATGTAATAAAAATTGTATTTGGCGGCAATGGCAATATTATAAAATTTATCTGCTGCTAGTTTTGAACTTAATTGTTTCATTTCATTTTGAAAAATTTAATTTTGTTTCAAACCTCTAATATAAAGTATTAATATTAGAGTATAATACTTAATATTAGAGGTTTGAAACAAAATTAAGCTTATACGGTATTAAAACCACAATAATTAATAATAATTTGAAATTAGTAGCCTTTTAGTAAAATTTACTGGTTATGGCACTGCAAGCATTCGTCAGTATACTAATGATACAAAAGCATTGTAAATTACAATACAGCATAATTATAGAATTACTGTAAGAGAATAGTTAAAAATCAGCGTAGAAACAACGTTCAAAAATATTGAACGATTTTAGTTTTGCTTTTATATTTAATGGTCGCGAAAAAGGAAGTTAAAATTATTTCGGAATTTATGTTATATAACGACTTTGTCCAGCAAATTGTCGAAATTCAGTACTTGAATTTATGATGTACTTAAAAATCCACTGATTCTTTCATTCACTTATTTCAACTCTTAAAAAAATTGTATGGAAAATTAAAGAATGAGATCCTCCCACGGAATTCCAAAAATTTTTTGATTTCATTCAAAAACAAAACATCCAAAATATTTAATATTGTACAGAATGGGTTAATTTACTTAATTCTATTATTTCATATTTTTAAAACGTGATTTTAAAAGCTTCAACTTGTTCATGTTCAACCATCTGTTTAACAACAGTATTAAGTATACAATAGGGATAGTTCATAAATAACAGGTATCTAGTAAAAGAAAAAATTCACACCCCTCTCAATAATTATAATATTTAAATACAAAAATGCACGTGTTATGAAAAAATTTTTCTTTGAATAACCTGTGGTGTACAGGTAAATAGATATATAATAAGGTACAATTAAAATATTGATTTCAATTGTATGCTATTAAGGACTCACACCTTATTACACCTTATTACAATGTAAAATATTTTAAAAACTAAAATTCAAACAATGTTTATTGCAATTTTTTTTTATTGCAAGTTTGCTATATAGTAGTTTTCAAAATATTTTTATAATTTTTGGTATCTCAATAAAAACATGGGTTTATAAGTACTTATAATATACTTGTATATATTTTCACATTAAAACAATTTTTAAAATTATTGAAAAATTAGGACACCTTTTATTAGCTTAAATAAAATGAAAATAGTAGAAGAAGGTGCAAGTTGTTTTATTATGATCTATTCGTCAAGTTGAGTACCTGCTAAATTCAATTTGTCATCAATCTCTAAAGAAAATAACATTTTGAAATGAAAATATGTACAAGTTTTTATTTCTTTTGCAATATTTTAGAAGTTATAACGAAAGGATCTAGTAAAATAATTTCATCATGTATTTTATGGGTGAAATAAATCCTTCATTTTATTTATAATTCAATTCTTAAGTAGCATATATTTACCTGTAATCATGTTAAAATATGCTTACCTTTATGTATCGCAACTTAAAAAAGAGGTTTATGTATATATATGCACAAGATAATAAGATTAGAATTGAGAGTATTATTAATTTTTTGCAAAAATAATAAAAAAAATTTACTTATATTGAATTTCATATTTTGTTCTTAAATATGTACATTTTAAAGTACCTACCGAATTTATTGTTCGCATTTATTATACATATTACCTTCCACTTGCTCACGTTCGATTACACCTTCACCTTCTTCTTAGTTTATATCTTATATTATTTACACTAAATACACAGTTATTAGCATCAGTTTAGTTTTTAGTTATTTTTTCAAATTTTTAATAATGGATTAAATTATTTCAAATTCGGGATTTTGTCCATTTTGTTAAACTAAAATTTTTAACAATAAATTATAAAATTTTTATTATTTTCCTCGAATTTTTTTTTTAGCGTTTATAACCTTTCGTAAAATTCTTTAACTATGATTTGCCTTTTGCAAAAATCAAAAAACATATTTAAATGAATATAAGCTATAAAATGTGTTCATTCTTGTAATATTTACGTAAGATTAAACAATTAAAGTCAGCATACTTACAGGCAGATTAAATTTTAACTTACCAATTTCAAAATTTATAAACAAAAAATAAAGAATTTTCAAAAACAAATTTTTAATATTCGTGAATTGTTCGAATAAGTTTAGCATTTAGTATGATTTTAACAATAATTGTTGACATATGTCAAATTTTATTATAATTGACAACTTCAACTGAACATTAATTTGGAATTTAAAACTATTGGAATTGGAAACTTATTACTTAAATGCATTGTTGTTATAATTAGAATCTTGTAAAACAGCAAATGTTTAAATTGATGTAAATTTTGTAAATGCACCTTGTATATTTGCATAAGAATCCGTCTATATCATACAATGTAATAATCTGCAAAGAAAATTTGATAGAAAAGATATGAGAATAAAATAAAAATATTCAAAATGTTTTATTTCAAATTCAACTATTCTTCTTGATCATTGAATTCTTGACTTTCATATTTTCTTTACTCATACCAGTAATACCATTTATTTCATCATTTCAAGATCAAATATCTCGTTCTGTTATTATCTTAATATGATTTTCTGTTTTCTCTTGATTTTTCTTTTTATATGATCCCGCATTTATGTCTAAAGGAACACACTTGAATTTGTAACAAACATTAAAAATATTCTTAAAGATTAATATCGGAAATTTTTCTTTTACAGATCAGTTTTTATGAACTGTGAAAATTTGGTTTTGTTTCAAAAAAAGCAAAAAGTAGTTTTCTTTTAGATTGTGTTACGATTATAAGTGAGCCTGTTGTAGCCTCAATGAAAAGGAAAAATAATGAAAAAAATATGGTTTTTTCACTGTTTTCTTAACTATACGTTAACAATTTAACTCTTATTAAATATTGGTAATAATAAACTAATGTAAAAATGTGAGTCAATTTTTATTCTTTGCTCTCTTTTATGTGCTTTATTTTTGCGGTGTTTACCTATATATTTACCTGCGTTATTATTATGATTATTGTTTTTAATTTTTATTATTTTTTTTGTTAAATATCACGATTGATTTTTATTTATTTTTTGTTTCAAATTTTGTTTTTATTTTTGACTTAACGCATTTTTTTGTTCTCTTTTGATTATATTAAAGAAAAGAAGAAACAAAAATTTAAAGTGTGAACGTGACTTAAGTTAAAAATATATTAAAAATTAAAATTAAAAAAAAAGATATTGTAAATTACACACTTTTTTGTTGTTAGTTAACAGAAAAAGGATAAAGAACTTTTTCTAAAATTAAGTTATTTGATAAATATTTTAAGATAACCCTTTAAATCCTGACTTAATCGAATGGGTAAATGTTCTTCAATTAGCCTTAGAATCAATACGCTGGTTTTGATATCATTAAAAGCTAAAAATGAAGATTATATAAACCTTCCTCGAACGAAATATGAGATACAGAACAAAAAATTGTTTTTTGTATTGAAATTAAAAAATCATTTTTTATTTTGCCATTCCATCTTTGTTTTCAATATTTATTCAATTCCAGTGCTATCCACCAGATTAAAGTTTTTCTTCACTTTTAAATTTGAGAGAGTTAAGAAAAATTATGCACGTATTTTGGTTAGTTTTTAGGACGTAAATGGATAATTTACAGTTCAATGATAATCATTACTTAATGATTATTGTAATTTTAATTAAAATTAATATGACTATAAAATTTTATTATGTAACAGTTTTACTTAATAATAAAAAAACAAAAAAAAATCATTAACCCTAGTAAAATACATCATCTATTTTAGTGCGAATGTACTCTACGTATACGTGCAAAATAAAATGAATTTCCGGTTTGTAAAAAAAAATTGACTTAATTTTCATCTCCCACAAAGAATTTTGCCGCTGCCATTATTCCTTCATCGTATAAGTATAAAGTAGACGTCGATGTGATCTGCAATTTAAAAAAAAAAAATAAAAACGACAGCAAATATGATAATTTTGAAAAAAAAATTATTCCACTTTAAAGATCTCCTCTTACTAAATTACATACGTTTTTTTTTGTATGTTTCAATTCTATATTTAAAAATTTTCTTTTTTAATCTAAGTATAAATTTTTCTTTTCATTTTTTTATGATTAGTCATTATTATCCAAAATATAATAGCAAGTATACTTCACTGGCACAAACTTATAATGTTCAACAAGCGTTGAAAATGATCCCTTATACTCATCGTGACTCACATTTTACTTATAACAATTATTGTAAAAACCGTTTCTCTCTCTCTCTTTCTCTCTCTCTCTCCGTAGACATTATATCGAGCAGTAGTATACTGAAAAAACTATTAATATTGAAATAATTAGAAACGTTTAAAATTTTATTAAGAGCTTTTCTTCGCTACTATCAATGAATATTGTCATTTTTCAATAAAAATATTATAAAAAAAAAGAATAAATAATTTAAAATTTGACTAAAATTTTTATTCACACTAATTTTATATTGATGATAAATTGAAAAATTTGAATACCTTAATATTTTTTTCTTTCTTTTTAATGTCCAACACAACCCCCACAATATAACAGTTTGGCGCGTGCATCTCATTCATAATTTATACCTACACATTATTATAATAATTTTTTTTTTATTATTATTATTTAAATTTTGATGCCAAAATATTATGTATGTCACAGTATAAAAATATAAAAACCACACACAAATTATAATTTCTATACAAAAGGAAAAAAAAAATTCGAGGACATCAAAATTTTTAATTCTTTTTAAATAATAATATGAACTCAGATATACCTACATAATTTTGTTATACTTAAAAATATACAAGCAAAGCTAGTCATCATCTTTATTAAATTTATGAAAAACATGTTTTAATGTTTTCTTGTATACACCGTAAAATCACACACAATTCTTCACATTACAAATTCACTTTCATTAAATTCAAAAAAAAAAAAGAAAAAATTCAGTAAACTTTTTTAATATCTTTCAATTAATTTATAAGTATATGTTTGTAAATGTATCATCACATTGATTGAGTCATCTATTCAAATAATTAATAAAAAATAAAATTCATAAAAAATAGCCGGCTTTTTCACAGTCAAAACATTTTAGAGTTTTTCTTCTTTTTATGCTAAACACTGGCACGCTTTCACCTTATTTTAAAATTCTATTAAAATTCACAAGAATTTTTGGGACAATAAGATGGTCATAAGTTTCTTTCAAATGTTAAAAATGTAATTTTATAAATTTTAAAATTAAAAATATTTCACAATATATTGAAAAAGAATTTCAAATTCATTGAACTCATTTTATTTCATATACCTTTTTATTAAATACAAGTATACCAAGACTAAAGTTATATTATATTAAACTTATTACATACAAAAATATACATATACTCTTTAAAAGCTTTCTTAAAAAACTATGCCAAAATCATGAGTAAAATCATATACTCCAAGTGCAAGAAAATTAATTTTTCAAGTTCAAAGTTCTAAAAGCTTTTGGCAATCAAAATACCTACTTATTGTACACCTTATTTACTAATTATTGTAGTTTTATGTTTTACACACACACATTTATTAATATACTTAACTATACCATAAAATGTTTTGTGTACAATTGAATTTAATAGTTACATAGGTATATAATTTTATATTTCTGGCAAGTACTATGCATTATGATGTAATATTTTTATGTTATTAAATATACACACATATATGTAAGTATATAAACTAGATACGTCTATATAATATCAATTTATATATTATGATCATACATAATTGACTTCAAATTTTAAAAATTTTATTTCATTCGCAATATTGTGATTATTTGTAATTTAAATGATAGTGAAATTTGATCTGAGATGTAATAGAAATTTATATCTCTTTTACTAGTACCTACTCGCAAAAAAAATTAATGAGTAATTAATTAATGGTAGAGTGAGCCAATTTAGGCAAGGTATTTTATTCCCCTACTTTAGAAAATTCTCTGTTTTGATAGAAGCATAGAATTAGCCTTAAAACTCTCGATAGAACACAGCCAACTTGCTAATCATCATAACAAATTAATTTTACATATTCCATTAATTTTTGTATTTGCTAATAATAATCTTAAATGAAAAAAATTTCTTATTATAATTACTGGACGCATGCATGTTCTCTGAGTATATACATATGTGCACTAATATTGTTTGTATGTGCATATTTTAAGTTCGAAGAGAAAAAGTTTGGATTTATTTATGAGAAATAAAAAACGAAGTATTCTGGAGCATTAACTGCGTAAACGAATAAAAAGTTCGAGAGTTTCATTGTATATAATAAAATTATTTTTTAATAAAATTATTAAACAAACATACGATTTTCGCCAATACAAATAAATTCGGGTTGAGTCTTATTAATTACTTTACCTAAACACAAATTTTATTAATATGATAAAAAAGACTTATATAATTATTATTATAACTGTTATACCTTAAATTCTATATTACATAAAATTCAATATTGCTAATTAAAAATAAGCGATTATAAAATAAATAATTATTTTTTGTCAATTTAAAATTCATATATTTTTTATATACATACATATATACATATATATATGTATGTTTATTGCATAGCTAATACTTGTTAAGTTTAAATATTTTTTTAATCGTTATCTACTTTAATAATGAAATTTAATTCTTACAATAACCCGGATTTTAAATTTATACAAAAAAAACAACAATACTCAATTCATATACAATTGATTTAAGTGATCAAATTTTCCAAAACAAGTTAAATTTAAGCTTTAAATTAGCCTAAATATAAGTAATTATTCGTATATTTAATGAAATACAGTTACAATACAAAAGTAACTGAATGTAGGTATGTTTGTGTATGCAAAGACAAAAATTTTATCTCATAATTAACAATAATAAAAAAAAAACATTTTTTTTCATGTCATTTATTATGCAATTTTGTTGTAATATTTTTTAGTCGATATAGATATACATACTTGTTATGTGTTTATTATCGAAAAATAATGAGTATATAAATAAATAAATTTAGAATCTTATGTACATATAAGGAAAAGTCGAAGTGAAATAAGGTCAAAGAGAAATTGCAACTAAAATGCAATACATTTTTTTTTCAATTTGCGATCACTATCCGACTTATTACGACAATTTGGTCTTAAAATTTTGAATCAAATTTGTTATACTTTTTTGTTACTTGTTAATATTTAATGTTCATGAAAAGGAAATGAATGATGGAAAATTCTTGAAAATACTGAATATATTCAGTTCGAATGACAAAATTATAATTCACATCTGGAAATGTACAAAATTCAATAATTCATCTGAATAAGTTTCCAAATTTCTTATTGATGTGAAAAATTTTCTGCAAACTTTTTAAAATGGAAGTTCTGTTTATCCTATGAAAATTCATTTTGGTCTTTTTTCAAAAGACTATTACATTTTATTGTTATTAATTACAAAGTTGTAAATATAGTTTTAAGTATCGTTAAAATCCTATTCGGAAAATCCGTAACTATGGTTTTTATAAGTACATAAATACATTTACTTGTGTATATTCGAGAAAGTATAAACTTAAAATTAGATTAAAAAGCTATATGATAAAATAAATGCTCAACAATTAATAACATGTAATTATTGCCGGGGAATTCACTAAGCAGATTTCAACATTTGTATAAAAAATGTATCTTGTAATTCTTAGATTATAAATTTCTTGTACTTATAGTTGACGCACAAACATAAAATTTCTAATATGAAGCATGTAATTAAAATTTTGAAATTGATTTTAGACAAAAAATCAAATAAGTTATTTTAGCATACTCTTTTCCAATAACAAATTTAAAAATAAGTACTAAAATTATTCAAAATTTAATTTTTATTAAAATTTATTTTTTTAAAATTATTTTATTAAATTCGATTTTCTTGTTTTTTTCATTTCTTTACAGTAGGTTGCATTTCAAAAGCAACCAAAATAATTGACAAAACGGCTGCCAAATTAGATAAAAGATTTAAAAAATCAACCACCATTACGGTGTGGTCGATTATTAATTATAAATTATTGTTATTGGCTATTGTAATAATGTTATTACAAATAGTACCATTAACAAAAATGGTTGCCGCAGCACCAGTACCAGAACCAGTTCCAGAACCACATCAAAAACACAATACATTTATATCAAAAATCTCACCACATAAATCATCATCATCATTATTATCATCATCATCTGCAGAAATGAATCCATTAATAATGAATAATAATTTAGAAAATTTATCAAATTCATTAGGAAATAATTTTAAAACATATGATTCAAAAATATCAACAACAAATAGAAAAAAGAAACATCGAATACGTTCATTGGATACATCGGATATGCCATGGGAAAATCCATGTGGTGGTAGATTTAAGGGTAACATCGTGGTTAACCAAAAGACAGTAACAATACAAAAAAGAAGAAAGGTTAGTTTTCATATCACTATTGATTTTAAAACACACATTCTTATCACACCATATATGTAAAGCTTTAGTTTATTTGTTTTGTATGGAAATGACTCTTAACTTGTAATTTTAAAGCAAAAAAATTTTATAATAAGAAAAATTTAAGAGGCGTTTACATTTCAATATTTTATATACACATAATATACAAAATAATTTCATTATTGCTACCAAATTATTAGTTATTTAATGAATATTTTTTTACTATACGATAGGTCTACAAACAGTTGCGTGATGCTATCAGTTTAGCCAACATGCATGAATTCATCCCGGGTTCGATACCCATTAATGATTTCAGTGAATGGATTAAACATGCAGAAACATATAATTTTCTTCCTGTTATACAACCAAAATCAAATGTAAGTGGAATAAAATTTTTAAAATTATTTTATTGAATTTATCAAATAAAATAACTTAGTTGCAAAATTGTAAAAAAAAATATTTAACAAATTATTTTTTTCTTTCAAATAATATAGATAACATTGGTTAGATGGCATCAACAAATGCAACGTTATGTTGGTATTATATCACATTTAAGGAAGCGTACCGAAAAAAATAGTCGTAATTATAGAAATGGTGATTTTCGTACAGAACTCTATGAATTATTGCAAGCATCAAAAAAAGTTCTTTGTGCAATTGAAACAGCAATTAATACAACATTAAGTAGACCATCAGCTGCACAATCAAGAATTAGACGTTATACAAAACAAGAAATGAATAGATATATTGAAAAATTACAAACAACAAATAATCGTGTTAGTGAAATTGATTTAAAATATGTTAAAGTTAATTATATAAATACAACAAATGGTATGATGAGAGCATTAAAAAGGAAAATACGTGAAATGAGTTGTGTAATACAAGAACGTAAACATAATGCATCATTAGAAACAGATAATAATGCATCGATCTCAACATCATCAGGATCATATATGAATCAACAAGATAATAGCAGTAGTAATAATAGTAAACAACAAATAAATTTTAATAGCTATTTTGATTTATTTGATAGTAACACCAGTAATAATAGTAATTATAATAGTAAAAGTATGAATAGTAATAGTGTAGAAGGTGGTTTTAAACGTTCTAAATTTTGCCAAAGAATATTAGAAGAAAAACATAAAAAAAAATCAAATAGGCATAGAAATCCTGGTGCTGTTTTTGGTTAGGTAGCCTTTTTTTTCACACTCTCTTTAGGTAATTTTTTTTTTAAATATAAATTTTAAATATTTTTTGTAAATTATTTATTGATTATTAGAATATTAAGTGTGTATAGAAAAATTAATTAAGAAATTTAACAAAAGCAAAAACAAATAGTTGCTTGATCTTTTTATATTTTTAAATTAAAAAAAAACAAAAATAATTTATTTTTATCACTACATTTTAATATTTATTATTTTCGAACCAAGAAATCAATGCAATTTCTAAAAAAAATATTTTTATACAAAAAAAAACATTTTATTTATTTATTTAAAACAAAATTACGAACGTAAAGAAAACAAACACAAACTAATTTTATTTAATAATAAAATTTTTAACATTCCATAATTTTTTATATTTATAAAATAAATTTTCATAAAAATAATTGCAAAATTTAATACAAAAACCGGTTTAAAATGTACTTGAAGATTATTTCAGGCTCACACAAGCATTTACCATCATTATGTAAATATAAAGAAATTACTAAAAATAAAATTTGTCTAAATTATGGTTGCAATTCGAGCTAGAAACCAGATTTAATATTGACAAACGGAAATTCTTTTCCAAAGTTTAACACAATTTTTGGTAATAGAATACAGTTTTGTTGTAAGATAAAAAAAAAAAACTATTCGTCGTTCAATTTGACAAATTTGTAATCCAAAATCAAATATAACCTGATAAATGTCAAAAATCGTTTAAAAGATTTAAACTCTTTTTCATTAAAAACTCAAAAAATATTCAAAAAAAACACGCTTGTTTTTAATTTCTTTTACTTTACAGTTATTATACTTGTGTTAGCACTGACAATTTGCAAAATTACGATAGTAATTTAAGATTCTAAGCTACTTAAAAAGTTATTCGGAGTTCGTAAAGTGACAGAAATTTGAAAACAAGACGTGATATTTAAAAAATAAATTCGATGCAATTACTTATATTTATGGAAATTTAGAGTGCATTAATAAAATTAAATAATATTTTTCTAATATTATTTTTAATATAAACTCATCAATGTAAATTGTCCTTTATAAGTAAAAACAAAACAATATTATTTAACAATATTTATTTCAAATATTAAGGATCATTTACATTAATTTTTAATCATTCAATTTAATATTTAACAAATTTTTCGAAAAATTCTGTACATTCCTAATAAATTTTTTTAACTTCCTCTAATTTTTTTTTTAATATTACCATAGTATTTAATGAAATTTAAGAAATTCCGAAACCTCGACATTATTTTACCAACATAGTATTAATGTTTTTTTTTCTTTAATATTATTTTATTTTAAATTTAGATTTTAAGTAATCAAACGATCAATTAATTTAATTTATAACAATAAATTTCAATAATTAAAATTCAGTGATTTGAAAAAGTATTTTTAAAAATAAAAAATAAAATTAAAATACATAATTAATTAATTAAAGATTGTAGTATTTTAAATTGAAATTGTAAAAATTAATTATTAAAAAAAAGTGCCTAAAAATCAATTTTTTTAAAAAAATTAAATGCATGTGTAAATTATAAATTTTGCCTAGTAACTCATGTATGAACGATTCTTTTAAATAATTAAAATTAAAGATTAAAATTTTCTTGAGTTCCCTAATGCAGTAACACAACTATATTTAAACTCTTTTTCAAAAAGAAAAAAAATTATAATCAAGCTGTTATCAAATTATAATCAAGAATCAGATTTAAGAATTGTATTTACTGCAATATAGAATTCAGGATTTTTAATTTATTTTCTTTTCGTATTTTATAACTTTATTTATAAAAATATAATTCAAGAATAATAAAAAAAAATATTTTAAAAATTGTATCAATTACACTTCACCTATATTTTTACGTCAATTTCTAGTAATTTTAATAAAGTTTTTTGTTTTTTGATAACAAACATATAAATCTATGGAAAACATCATAAAAAGCCCCATCAGTATTTAAAAATCAGTTCACGTACTTGTTAAATGAATGACGTGAACCTAACACATTCATTAAAAATGAAAATGAAAAGTTTTATTTTAAAATACCGCGATTATTTTGTGTCACTATAAATGAAATTTCGAATAAACATAATTGTGTATTTACACTTCTGAATACTAATTTATCTTTATTTGTTTACACGTAATATTTATCCATATTTTAAAACCAAATTTTATTACCTTTAAAAATTAAACTTGATATTCCCCTAAAATTGTAAAAAACTTAATTTTCTGACGTTTCATTTGACATTAAATATAGGGGAATTTTATTTTTTGTTGATATTAAAAATAATGTCACTATATTTATTGTACAATTTTTAAAATAATTTTGTTTTTATTGTTTATTTGCATTTTATTGAAAATATTTAAAATAAATTTTATATACTACTTAAAAAAACAAAAAAATAAATGGAGAATAAAATTATGATTATTAATCGTACTTTTTCGTATATTTATGCTGTGATATAATTTTGTTTTTTTTTTGTTCTCTCCATATAGTACTTTTATTATTCTTTTTATTTTAACGGTAAGTGACTTATCTAAAACAAATAAATGAAAACTAATATTAATATTATGAAAAACAACTAAAAATAAGAAAATTACTTTACAATTTTAAGTAGAAATTACAAATTTAAATAAAGAACATAAACAAGATTATAAAACTAAAATTGTATTGAAATGTGCTAAAAACAAAAGTACTAAATCTACTAAAACTTTAACAAAAGTAATAAAATCAATTAATAAAAAATTTGATGTTATGGAATATTTAGTACAATTTTACTTTAAAATCGAAGTGTTAAAATAAATGTTCAATTAAAAAAAAAGGCTGCTTATTTATTTTATTTAACTTTTCTTGGTAAATCAACATTTTCCCATAAAATAAAATTAAAGCAATAAAAAACTTTTAATTATTTTAACTCTTATTTATTTAAATTGACAAAATTTTCATTTTAATTTAAAACCACTAAAACAACTCATTTATTTTTTTTTGTATAATTTTGATTTATGTAAACGAACCTTTTTAAATTCTTTGACAACCTCATTCAAATTTGACAAAAAAAAAATAATTTTATTTTAGTTAAGTATAAAATTTTGTATTATTTTTTAAAATGATCTTTAAATTATATTTAAAATTTATATTTTAATTAAAATAAGTTAAAAAATTGTTATGTAAGATTATATTATACATTTATACATAAAATATAAAATTATTTAATTATTAAGCCAGATTAAGCTTAAATTCTTATACATAAAAAAAAAAAATTTTAATAAAAATTTAAAAATGAAAAAATAAAAGAAAAATTTTGTAAATAAATTTAAAAAAATAATAAAAAACAATTTTCGAAAAATAAAATAAAAATTATTTTTCTAAGTAAAAAGTACACAAAATTCTTTTATTTCTCTCAGAACTCACAATTTGACATCAAATCCAAACTACATGAAAAGTATGAACGTACTCGCTTACGTGGTGAATAATTGCTTAATGTGTATAAAAGTTGCGTACATTTGTAAAGTTTAATTCACTTTAATTGCATAGGAAATATGTCTAACAACACTTCAGAATTATTTAAGAATTTAAACTAACTGTCTGAATCTATAGTATACAAGTAATGGAAAATATTTTAAACAAAATAATTCGCATAGATTATTTTTGAAATTTGATCAAAAATATGATCGATTCCACCTGATTTTTTTTACTACAAATTTTTTACATAATTTTTAGATTCTATTTTAGACATTTTCAGAGTCTAAAAATGATCAAATTTGGAATATAAATGTTGATGAAAAAATTGTACATATTTTGTGTTAGATATATTCTTTTGTTGCATATCATTAGGATGAAGTGAGAGCGAGAGATAAAAAACGAATGATAGGCCTATAGTTTTTATACTCGTACGAACGTATATTCGAAGGGTATACTAAATTTGCCTTACCGTTTGTAACGCTAAGAAATAACGGTCTTAGATAAAGACTCAAGTGTATGTTAAATTCACCAAATTTTCTCAAATGATTTATTGCAGTAAGTGCGAGAACCCTATTTAAATTGGACATGACCGGGGTACCGGTTCGGATAGCTGCCATACAATTTCAAAATTTATTTGGCTATATCACAGGAACTATAAAAGCTGTGGTATTGAAATTTCACAAAAACGAATATATTGGTAGGGCTAATGTGTCTGATAAAAGTTGTTGAAATTGCCTGGCTCCTTCTGGTAGCTGCTATACAACTTCCAAAGTTATTTGGCTATATCTCAGAAACTATAAAAGCTGCAATATTGATATTTCACACAAGCGAATATATAAGTAGGGCCAATGCTTTTAATAAAATTTGTTAAAATTTCTGGGCTCTTTCTAGTAGCTGCCATACAACTTCAATAGTAGTTTGACACACACAGTTTTTTGAAAAACACAGTACTGAAATCTTGCATAAATTAATATGGTAATATGGCAACTTAAGGTCATAGTCTGTTCCATAGTCTATTGTGGCATATTTATTCGCACATAGGATAACAAATTCGTACGGGTATCACAGAGTTGACAAAGTCACTCTATTTTTTCTCATTTAATGTAATTTTTAAATTTTTTAATTAACATCTAAAACAAAAACTATTACTAAAAGTAAAATTCGTAAAAATTGGGTAGCACTGAAATGTGTTTTTGAAATACATAGTAAATACTACTATGTTCTATGTTCAAAATACTACTAATTCAAATACTGCGTACGCAGAATATTGAGTGATTAAGAATATAGCGGAATATTGAGTGATTAAGGAATAGCGGAATACCATCTTATTTATTTCCAACAAATGTCGAAAAACTGAAAAATTCGCATACAGCCGCTATTGGACAGAGAGAAAAAGACAAATTTATGGCGTGAACACAAATTACGTAATTTATACACGTACATAAATCTAAATTACTGAAAGTGTGGCGAAAGTTCGACCAATTATAATAATTCTATATTTGATTTTAGAAGGAGAAAACAATTTTTCTCTAATGCAAAACAGCATATGTTCAAAAATTATTTTTATGTTAGTTCAATTTTGAAATACCCTATATATAGGAAAAACTCAGAATA